CCCATGAGCCTCACCCAGCACAGGCAGAGCTCTGTGGGAAGCTGTAGAAAGTGGCTGTAAATTATCAGTTGAAAGCATCCATAAATTCTAAATCTGCAGATTAAATGATCTTTTATTTATCTTGAACTGAATGAAGCTGTTGAGGCTGAGGACCTGATGACTGGACTGAGTATGGATTCACCGAGCAGTCAACGATGTCTTATCCAGGCAGCTATTTTGGGTGCTCTGACTCACCTCCTGGAGGTTCTTGCTTCACACTGGCTATAAAGAGAAACAGGGATCCTAAATTTAGATGCTGTGGACAGGGCTGAAGGGAAACGGTGTGCCAATACTACAGGATATGGCATCTCAGGAAAAAACTGGTGACTTTACCCATGGAGTCCAACATCCTTGTCTTACAACAGAGGAGGGTGGTTGGTTGCTGCCTGCAGAGAGCCCTTTGCAGCCCAGAGGGGATGCTGAGCTTGGAGGGGTCAAAGGCTCCGGCCACAGTGGGAATGTCAGGCTCTGGGGGGTCACCACCTTCACTCTCCTTGGAAGTGCCTGAATTTCAGAATGTGCTGTTCTGTCCTTCTTTGGTCTCTACCCTCCTCCAACTCAAATCTTCACGCTCCTGGGATCAGTGCTGAAAAGAGAAATTAGGAATTTAAAGCGCTTCAGCTGAGCTCCTCTGGCAGGGTCAGGTCACTGCTGCAGAATAAACTCTTCCAAAACATTTTTCCAAGACTCTGTATCCTCACAGTCCATCATAAATTCTTGAAATTGAGCCTATTTTAACCACAAAAAGATGAAGTTGGAAGAGGATTGGAGGTCACCGAGTGCAACTCCTGCTGTCACAAGTGTTGCTGGTCAGACTTTGTATTTTTACAGTTATTCCTCCTCCAGAAGCTGCCTCTGCTTTGAGGTTTTCCTTTGTTGTTCACACCAAACACAAGTTGTATCACTTCCATTTTTTAAACTGCTGTCAGTAAGGCTCTGTTAGATGTCCCAAAATGCAAGGGCTTCTTATTTACTTGGCTTTCTGGTTGGTTATTTGAGTTGTGTGGTCTTTTTCTTACTTAAACTCCAGAATAAGGTGCTTAAAAAGAGAGCTGTCTGTAATTTTTGTATCTAATAGCATTATGAAGAATAAGAATATTAATTTAAGAGCACGAGTAAGTGGGTGAAGCTTTTGCAGAATGCTGTTTGCTCTCCAAAGAAACTTGGGTGCATAAGAGGAGTGCAGATCCAAGTGGGATCATAGGACTGCTGTGCATTTTTAGGTAGCACACAGCTCCTGGTTGGCCCATGTCACAGTAAAGGATGATAATTCCTCCCTCTGAGAAGTGCTGGAGAAAATAAAATGAAACAGAACCAGAAGTGAAGTGAAGGCAAAACTCCCAAGTCCCTCAGCGAGCACTTCCGTCGTCTAAATGATAAATGTGTGTCAGATAAGCCATGACCTAATTTTCAGATCTGAGCTTTGAGGAGTTTGGGTTCAGGCCAATTTCACGGGAGGTGAAGTCTAATTACAATCCTGGATTCAAAGTCTTCACAGCTTTGGTGAAGTTCAGATCCAACTCCACAATCTCTGATATTAAACTTGATCTGATTTTGGTTTGCTGCCCCCGGGCGAGCTGGGATGGAAGTGTATTGCATTGATTTGACTTCTATTTAAGTCCCTATTAAAATTTTCTATAGCAATTAACAACAGGCTAAATTAAACCAATAATACACATCTTTTTCTGTCAACCAAGATTATGAATAATGGTATATATTAATTCCCCTCCATCTTTTTTAGCCAAGCAGAACACGGTTTAAGAGTGCAACTTCTTTGGTGTCTGAGAAGGGCCAAGAAACCTCAACAGAACAGACTTGCTTGTGAGATTGCTGCTGCTTCCTGTTTCTGGTCAAGTCAGCAACAGAGCAGAGGCACAGAAAGCCACACGTTTGCCACATCTGAGGACAAGGGGAGGGATTTTCAAAATTCCTCTGTGACTTCAGTGCTCCCAGTAGTGTCCCTTTGCTCATGGACTGAGCCCTGCGGTGGGGAACCAGAGCAAGGGCTGTAGGTACGAGGTGCTCCTCAGAAGGGTGAAGATCCTCCTCTAGAAAAGCTCATCTACTGCAAAGGGTGAAGCTGAGACCGTGGGAACAGGCTGTTCCCCAAGGTGTATTGATGCTGATGCTGCTGAAAAGATGCTGAAAAATGATGTCATTTTTCATCAATGACATGATGAAAATGTCATTCTTTGCTGACATTGTGCAAAGAATCAGCTTGGTCTTTCTTTTTTTTGTTTGTTTGTTTTTTGGGGTTTTTTTGGGGTTTTTTTGTTTGTTTGGGGTTTTGGGGGGGTTTTTTGGTTTTTTTTTGTTTGTTTTTTTTTTTAGTACAGTTATTTTTGTTGTCAAAAATAACCTACTTCCAAAACCTAGGAAATAAGAGAAGGAAAGAGAGTGAAGTGACTTTGGAGTGTGCCAGAAAGAGCAGAGGCTGCTGCTTGGCTCAGGGCCTTATTTCAGTGAAAGCTATTTAACATTTTTATAACTGATGGCAAAATTGCTCACTATTAATGGGCTTTCTTTATGGCTCTAATTTATTCTTATTTTCTCAGAGGCAACGGAGTAGAGGCCAGATTACTTTATCCCCTAGTATTAAAAAGCCTGGGGCTGAGAAGCTTAGCACTACTTTGTCAGGATTTTCTCCATCTGGCAAAATAATAGAATAAAATCATCCTATGCAGAAAGCTGCTTTATTATTTTAAAGAATGGTCTTTCTCTTTCAATTCAAAACCTCCAGAGAAAGGCAGGGGTGTGGGCTCTGTGTGAGTAAATGAATATTTTCATTCATTAGCTGCCTTTTCTATATTCAAGAGCTATGATTCGTGACTGCCAGACTCACTTAAACTTCTCTGGGCATTAGTTGTGTGTGTTGAAGTGGAGGCAGATAGAGGTTAAAAACCCTATTCAGAGACTTGAAAGGTTTTCAGGGTTCAGAGGGGTGAGGAGATCCCCGTGGAGGTTACAATGGCATAGGCAGGATAAGCTGACTCTTATAAAAATAAACTTATTTTCTTTAAAGGAAAAAAAAAAAGAAAATATGGATTTAAACTATTTAATTGTTTTCTTATTTTCTTCCCCCCCCCCCAGCCATTAATAGCAAAAGAATTGTTTGTTTTAATCAATGTTTATCAAAACATAAAGTAGGTGTCTTGAGCAATGAATCATATAAATTGCTCATGACCCTTTGAAAGTTTTCTTCTGTATTTTGAAGTCATCTGGTCGACAGGATGAAACCTCCTCACCATGTGTACCATGAGTTTCTGGTGACATAACCCAAGTAGGAAATTACTCCTATTAGGAGTATTTTGAGTGTGCACGCACAAACTAAGCTACATCAGTTGACAATGTAACTAAGATTGAACAATAAAACACTTATTGAGTTTCTGAAGCCAGAAGCTAAATATACAACTCAATGTTTTGGTGTGAAGAGTTCACCAAGCTCTATTCATGTAAAGGAAAGAAGGTGCAGGTAGGCAAGGGAAAAAAGTTGGATACCAATGAAAATCATAGAATCATAGAATCATAGAATGGTTAGGATTGGAAAGGACCTTAAAGCTCATCCAGGGTGGTTCCAACCCCCCTGCCAGCAGCAGGGACACCTTCCACTAGACCAGGTTGCTCAAAGCCTCATCCAGCCTGGCCGAGAACACTTCCAGGGAGGAGCATCCACAACTTCCTTGGGCAACCTGTTCCAGTGTCTGACCACCCTCACAGTGAAAAACTTCTTCCTAATATCTCATCTAAACCTCCCCTCTTTCAGTTTAAACCCATTTCCCCTTGTTTTGTCATTAACTGCCCTTATGAAAAGTCCTTCCCCAGCTTTCTTGTAGGCTCCCTTCAGGTACATCTGATGGTATGATGGTTCTCCCTTAAAATAGACCTTAGTGGGATCTCAGGGATCATAGTCTGGACCTCAGCTCTAAATCTTGGATTTTTCTGCAAGTGCAGGCATTAGAGGTGCATTTCCACCCCAATGTGGTCTGGTGTCACACGGGGGACTGTCAAACAGGTGGGATGGGGTTCGAGGAAAACTCATCGTAATTAAATTGGTTACATGGCACAACTAGATTATTATTTTAATATTTGTTATGGAAAAGTCTAGAAACCCCAAGTGTGAACAGAGGCTGAGCACTGTGTATATACAAAGTCTCTGCCCCAAAGAGCTTAATATTTAAATAGAAAAGATGGATAAATAGGGAAAAGGAAAACACTTGGAAGTAAATCGCATAAAGTCCGTAGCAGAATGCAGCACAGAAATATCCTGTAAGTCTCAAATCTCCTATGTTCTGTCCCAGAGTTTCAGTTACCATCTTGAGAGTCAATAATGTCATCATCTTTGCTTTCATACGATTCTACTGCTAAACCTACTCCAGTTGGTGCAACCTACTGTGGTTGCATGCTCCAGTTGGGAAGAAGATCTTAAATACAAGCTTTGACTGTTAGTTTCTTGGAAAGACCACATCAAAATACTACTCCATAAAATTCAGTTAAAAAGATTTCCCCATCTCCTGAGCACAGGCACCTTGCCAGCAGTCTGTTAGCCAAAAAAAGTCTTGATGTTGTGTCTTCTTCCCATAATCTAGTTATATTTTAATCTGTGTTTACGTGGTATGGTTTTATTAGCCAAAAAAAGTCTTGATGTCACGTCTTCTTCCCATAATCTAGTTACATTTTAATCTGCGTTTATGTGGTATGGTTTTGAGGAACCATTGGTAGATCTGTGGGTTATATGCTGGGTAGTCCAACAACAACCCTACCCTGAGCCAAACTAGAGCAATCTGTCAGGTGTGGGTCTTGCAGTGCTTTTGGTTTTGTTCTGGGACGCACACAAAGTTCCTTGTTGACCCTAGTGATGAGGTAAGATAGGAAATTTAAAACAAGGTGTTGCCTAGTAAAAGCAGGCTACTGGTGTCCAGAGAAAGATAACTCTGGGCGGCAGTGGGAAGTCAGGGAGCTGCTCACATCTCATCGCTGTACCTCAAGACCTCAAGAACATTATCATTGGGAAGAGAAATCTCATTCAAGAATTTAGGATGATTGAGTGTTACTGATATTCGGTCCTTCACATTCAGGTATGTTAAATGGAGCTGGAACAAGGTCTTAAAAGTCTTTTCTTGGCACGTTTCTGATGCACACCATGTGGATAATGTTTGCCTGTCGACTTTGTCGTTCACAAGGAGCTCTATCTTGAGGTCGATGGGGCTGTTTGAACAGTCAGGAAAATGAAAGTTCAAGTGGCAATGGATCAAGTAGAGGCCTTCTTCCCGTATCACCAGCTCTTCACTCTCACATTGGATGCCTTCACAAATGCCCTTCTCCACCAAGCTCAGCTTTGAGCTGTTTATTGGATTGGAGACTAGAAAGGAAAGCAAACAAATTTTAAAATGAGTAGCTGAGCTCTAGTGACCTAAATTCAGCCTGATGTGACTTGCAGCAGTGTATTTCCTGGTAAATGGGGATATCTGTTCAGTGATTTCCTGCAGGAAGCTCCAAGAAAAGGCCTTGGCCAAGCAGCTCACATGTGGAAGTGGGGTGTTAAAAAGTTCCAAGGACACTTACACAGCCCTTGGGAAACTCAAGACAGGGAGATGCAGTGAAAATGAACTTCTGCAATATTAAAGGGAAATAATACTGATGTATGTTCATGTGTTTGTGTGCAGAAGGTCTCTCTTTATTTATTTTTTCTTATCAAGTTTAAAAACAATAAAGTTTATGTGATCAGACAGGGGCTTTACCAAACACACCCACATTTCAGGAAAGCTAAGGATTTTTTTTCCTATAAAATACTTATTTGATGAAAAAAAGCTATTTGCCAGTAAAACCAGTTTGAATAACATGCTCAGCCTGCTCTTCAGCCAGCTCTGCAATCTCTCTTTGCCAACTCTTGCCCTCCACTGAGTTCCCCACTGACCTCTCATGTACGCGGCGGCTCTCTTGGTCAGGATATTCTGGATTCTTAGGGTTCTTAAATAGTCTTCAGAGGTGTTCCCTGAAGGAAACAACAGGTTAAGTGACCATTCCTGGTTTTTTTTGGTACTATAAAATACTGTCAGCATCTCATTTGGCATCTCATTTATTTACTATAACCCAGCTATGGACAAACTCCACAGCAGCAGCTGTAAAGCGACAAGCAGCAGCAGCTTGAACAGCATGTAGGAGAGAGAAGGACCACCAGGATGATCCGGGGACTGGAGCACCTCTCCTGTGAAGACAGGCTGAAAGAGTTGGGGCTGTTCAGCCTGGAGAAGAGAAGGCTCCAGGGAGATCTTATAGTGGCCTCCCAGTACCTGAAGGGGCTTCAAGAAAGCTGGAGAAGGACTTCTCATAAGGGCAGTTAATGGCAGAACAAGGGGAAATGGGTTTAAGCTGAAGGAGGGGAGGTTTAGATGAGATATTAGGAAGAAGTTCTTCACTGTGAGGGTGGTGAGACACTGGAACAGGTTGCCCAAGGAAGTTGTAGATGCCCCCTCCCTGGAAGTGTTTAAGGCCAGGCTGGATGAGGCTTTGAGCAACCTGGTCTAGTGGAAGGTGTCCCTGCTGCTGGCAGGGGGGTTGGGACTGGATGAGCTTTAAGGTCCCTTCCAACCCAAACCATTCTATGATTCTATGATTCTATGATCTTTCTCCTTGGCTGATAATATCTGGTCTGCAAGGGGAATTCATAGCAGTGTAATAGATAACAGTCGAGTATGACAGTCTAAAGCTCTGGTAGATCACAAGTATAGGTCAAAAAAATGGTATTTCTTATTATCTTTCTTACAAACAAAAATTAAATGCAGGTAAACTTAATTTAAGGGAATTATTTGTAAGGGGAAATTACAGAAAGAAGATTTGGAATGTTTTACTGGAATGTAATTCTGAAAATGGCTTTCTGGGTGCATTTGAAACGTTGTTCTGTTCTCTCAGTGCTAAAATGTAGATGTTGCCAGGACTGTAGGTGGGGATGTTGGTTGTTGATGTCACCAGGACTGT